GTGTTTTTTTACCCATGATTGTCTTTGATTGGGTGGATAAGTAGATTTAGCTTGAGTGATCTTATCCTGGGTATTTATTTCTATAGGTGGTACGTATGGTAATCCGTCACCATGAAGAGCAGCGACAAAAAGAAGAACGAGCTCGGAGAGAAGAACAGGCCAAACTGCGCCGAATTGCTTCTACCATGGCCAAGGATGTTAGGCAGTTCTGGAGCAATGTGGAGAAGGTGAGGAGTGAGGTTGGCCAAAAGGAGATGGCCTTGCCTAAGTTAGAGGGAGGCATGTTGATAGGACTGACCAGAGTTTACCAAGGAACTCAACACTGCAATTCCAGTTCTTTATGATATTTCCTTATATATTGGACCTTTCCACCACAGAATGTCCCAAGGAAGAAGAAATTCTTGGCTTCCTTTTCCTCAGTTAAAACTTTGAGTAGCATCCAGCGATCTGTTTTATAGTGTCAAAATATATGTTGTGCCTTTGGGGATGAGTAGGACTCTTGACTCCTAGACCATTTACTCTGTAGGGTGTGTAGTATGTTTTTTCTAAGATATGTTTTTGTTTACCTGCCTATGCCACTAAAGTTCCTTCTGCTTACATGTTAAGTTGTAATTATCTCTGAAGCCCTTCTCTCCCTTTTTGTGTTTGTGATTGGTTCTAGGACTCCCCGTGGGTATCTGATCTGGAGATGCTCAAGTCCAGTATATAAAATGCATATAACATATGAACAGATAATTGTGGAATTTTAAATATTTCTAGATCATTTTGATATGCATATTTTGGTATAAAAGTACTACATAGATAGTTGTCATGCTGTATTATTTGAGATAGGTATATATCTACATTTCACAGATACATTTTTTTCTTCCAGTTCTGAGACAAGGTGTCATGTAACTCGCATTGGCCTCAAATTTGATGTGTACGCAATGATAACCTTGAACTCCTGATCCTCCCATCTTCTAAGTACCCTTTATTGTTTATTTTTGAAACAAGACTTTTATGTAGACCAGGTTTGCTTCAAATTCACTGTAGCAGAGGCTGATCCTTTTGTCTGTTTCCTCTCAGGTGCTGAGTTATAAGAGTATGGTATCTTGTGGTTAGTCTAGAACTCATCTTTTTGTCAGTTTCCATTCCTGGCTACAATGTCTGCTTTGTAGTTTTTGAGACAGGGTCTCCCTATATAACGTCCCCTGGCACAGAGCCATCTTCAGTCTCCTGAGTTCTGAGATGTGCTATCTAACAACACCCAGGCTTGAAATTATTTGAGGCAAAGCAGTTCTTTTATTAGCATTTACTTATTGTATGTGTATGTAGACTTGGGGAGATACACCATGTTACACATGGTGAAATTAAAGAACAATTTGTGGGAGTCTGTTTTCTGTTTCTACCATGTGAGTTCTTTTTTTTTTTTTTTGGTTTTTCGAGACAGGGTTTCTCTGTAGCTTTGGTGCCTGTCCTGAAACTAGCTCTTGTAGACCAGGCTGGCCTCGAACTCACAGAGATCTGCCTGCCTCTGCCTCCCGAGTGCTGGGATTAAAGGCGTGCACCACCACCGCCCGGCTACCACGTGAGTTCTAAGGATTGAACTCAGGCCATCGGGCCTCCAACTCTTAGAGATCTGTCTTCCTCTGCCTCCTGAGTGCTGGGATTAAAATATGTGTCACCAAGCCCATCTATAGCTTTAATTTTATTAACCTAGGACCTTGTGCTGCTAAGTTGGTGCATTGATCACTCTGTTTTGACTCCAAGCTTTATTTTTTTAAATGGTTTTTAAGACAAGGTTTCTCTGTGTATGCCTGGCTATCCTGGAACTCACTCTGTAGATTAGTCTGGTTTCAAACACACAGAGATCTGCCTGCTTCTGCCTCCTGAGTGCTAGGACTAAAGGCATGTGCCACTACTGCCTCACTTGAGGTTTGTTTTTTTTGTTGTTTTGTTTTTTTTTTTTTGAGGTTGGTTGATAGGCTTGGCTGTTCACACATGGTCTTTCTACTGCTGTTGCTTGCCTTGTTGTTAAAGAATACACACATACACTTCCCCCCAACTAGGGCTTTGTTTATGCTGAGCATGTGTCTTCCCACTGCTCTCCACTGGTAGCCCCCTATACTCTATTATTTATTTATTTATTGGTTTGTTTATATTTGGTTTTTCAAGACATGATTTCCTCTGTATAACCCTGGTTGTTCTGGAACTCACTGGAGTAGACCAGACTGGGCTTGAATTCAGAGATCTGCCTGCCTCTGCTGACACTAAATGTGTGCCATCACTGCCCAACCACTTTTTTTTTTTAAAGGTTTAACTTCAGATAGATTTGCTAGTCTTCTCCAGGTCCTTGATACTAAGTTGACCTTGCATTTATTCAGTTTCTGGGTTTTTTTCTTTTTCCAGAAGTACTGTTTAAATCATAAGCCCCTTAAGAATTTTTAGCTTTAATTTCTAAATCACTAGGCCAAAGCCTTTCATAAAGGTAGTATCCCTAAATATTTGGCTAAAAGAGTATGTAAATTAAAAAAGTGAATATATGGGTGACTGATGCCTTTTGTGTTTATGGTAGGTGGTACAATTCAAACAACAGTCCCGGCTTGAAGAAAAACGTAAGAAAGCCTTGGATCTGCACCTGGACTTCATTGTGGGACAAACTGAGAAGTACTCGGACCTTCTGTCTCAGAGCCTTAACCAGCCACTAGCCTGCAACAAAGCTGGCTCCTCCCCTTGTCTTGGTTCTTCCTCAGCAGCATCCAGTCCTCCACCCCCTGTTTCTCGGCTGGATGATGAAGGTGTGTGTGCTCTTTGGTCCTGTTACTTTTCCCAAATGCCCTTTCCAGAGCTGAAAAACCCACCCTGTGGCTTGCAGGGCCCGTGGATTTTGTGACCTTGTTCTCCTGCTATAGATGGGGACTTCCAACCCCAAGAGGAAGAAGAGGATGATGAGGAGACCATTGAGGTTGAAGAACAGCAGGAAGGCAATGATGCAGAGACCCAGAGGCGTGAGATTGAACTGCTTCGACATGAGGGAGAACTGCCACTGGAAGAACTGCTGCGTTCCCTTCCCCCTCAGCTATTGGGCGTACCTTCCAGCCCCTCTCAAACACCCTCATCTCATGACAGTGATACCCACGATGGGCCTGAAGAAAATGTTGAAGAAGAACCGTCTCAGGATTTGGAGGTACATATAGAAGAGGTACAGAAAGGAAGATTCAGAGAGGAAGTAGATGGAGTTTCAGCTCTCAAATCGTGGTTGTGGGTCTTAGGTTGATCCCTGATTTTGAGAATCTGAATTAAAGACAGTTGGGGTTTCATTGCTAGGGAAGATGATGATTTGGGTCAAGTTGCAGCCTACAGTTGACAAGGTTTCTAATAATATAATAAGCACATTTATTGTACTTTAAATTTGCAAGGGAAGAGCTAGGGAGATAGCATAGTTGGTAAAGTACTTGAGTTCAATTCCCAGTTTCCCACACAAAAAAGGTTTGTGCAGTGGTATGTTTCAGGAGTTTTGGCTTTTAAGAGGCAGAGACAGGAGCATCCTTGGGGCTTGCTGGCTAGCTAGTCAAACTAAATCAGCTCCAAGTTCAGCCAAGAGTGATTGAGGAAGACAACAGATAATGAACTCCGATTTCCACAAGCATGCACAAGTGTGCAAACAAACACGTATACACACATATATAAATTGTTTGGTCATATGAATTTGGAAATTGTGATGTTCATCCTAAAAATCTCTTCAAACTAGATGTAGTGTCATATACCTTTATCCCAGCACTCAAGAGGCAGAGTCAGGTAGACCCTGGAGGCCAGTTTAATCTCCATAATAAATTCCAAGATAGCAAGAGGTACATAGTAAGATGCTGTCTCCAAAAAAATAAAATCTCGGGCTGGAGAGATGGCTCAGTGGTTAAGAGCATTGCCTGCTCTTCCAAAGGTCCTGAGTTCAATTCCCAGCAACCACATGGTGGCTCACAACCATCTGTAAAGAGGTCTGGTGCCCTCTTCTGGCCTGCAGACATATACACAGACAGAATATTGTATACATAATAAATAAATATTTAAAAAAAATAAAATCTTTTAGACCTTTGTACCATGGGGTTCTAATGCATATTAAGGGCCTTTTAAAAATTACTATTATTATTTTTTTTAGCTTTTTTTTTTTTAATTTATATGGTGCTGGAGAGATGGCTCAGTGGTTAAGAGCACTGGCTGCTCTTCTAGAGGTCCTGAGTTCAATTCCCATCAACCACATGATGGCTCACAACTATCGGTAATGAGATCCGGTATCCTCTTCTGGCCTGCAGGCATATGTGCAGACAACATCTTATGCATAATAAATAAATCTTTTAAAAAAATTTTATGTGCTCTTTTATTTGTAATTATGTGTAGATTTGTCTTTCTCTGTGGATGTGTATAATTGAGTGTGGTTGCCAACAGAGGCTAGTCTTCGAATCCCCTGAACCTGGAGTTACAGATTGTTGTGAGACACTTGATAAGGGTACAAGGAATTGAACTTGGTTCCTTTGGAAGAGTAGCAAATATTCTTACTGATAAGCCACCACCCTTCATTTATTTACTTTTAAATTTCATTTTATTATTTTATTTTTGAGACAGGATTTTGCTACATGGTTCTGGCTGGCCTAGCATTTATTTAGACTAGATGGACCTAAAAAAAACTTACTAGAATTTTGTTTTTGTGGGTATACATGTGGAAATCAGAGGACAATTTTGTAGTGTTGGTTCTAGCCTTTGGTTACATGAGTTCCAGGAATTGAACTTTGGTTGTCAGGCCAGCTAATGACCATTTAGCCATTTTGATGGTTCCCTCACTCCTTTTCTTGCTTTTTTCTCTTCTTTTTTTCTGTTTTGTTTTGGAGACATATTTACTGTGTATCCCTGGCTGGCTTGGAACTCATTGTGTGGACCAGGCTGGCTTCAAATTAAAAAAGCTCTGCCTCTAGAGTGCTTGGATTAAGGGCATGAGCGCGCATACTTGGTTCCACTTTATTAATTTCCTAGCACTTTCACAGGTCCTCCCTCAGTCAGTAGGGTCAGGATTTGGTAGCTGGTGCTGAGATAAAATCCTTGATTACATCCTTGCCCTGATACTGTATCAGTGCAGCTGTTAACTCAAGGGAACAGTAATGCTTTTCTGATCTTCAACTCTGTGTCTTTCAGGGTTTTATTTATTTATTTTGTTTGTTTGTTTGTTTTTGCTTGTTTTTGGATTTTTGAGAGAGGATTTCTCTGTGTAATAGCCCTGGCTGTCCTGAAACTTGCTTGTTGACCAATCTGGCCTCAAACTCAGTGATTCCCCCCTCCGCATACTGGGATTTAAGGTGTGTGCCACCATAACTGACTTTTTTGTTGTTACTGGTTTTGACTCTGGCTGTCCAGGAATTCACTATGTAGACCAGGCTGGCCTTGAATTTACAGACTTGCCTCTGCCCCCCAATGCTAGGATTAAAGGCTTTTGCCACAACACCCCAACTTTGTGCTCAAATGTTGAGTCCTTCCACTTTTTATCCTTTCCCATACAGGTAAACCCTCCACCTTCCTCTGTCACACAGCACAACCAACAGCGTTGGCATCCAGATGAAGATGATGAAGAGTTTACTGCTAATGAAGATGAAGGTCAGACCGGTTTTGTCTTTTTTGTTGTTTTCTTGGAACAGGGTCTATTGTGTATCCATGATTATAGATCAAGCTGGCCTTGAACTAAGATCCACTTGTGTCTGCTTCCAAGTGCTGGGATTAAAGGCCTGTGTCAACACGCTCTGCTCTCTTGTAGTTAATTAGGCTTATTCTCTCACCTTCCCCCTTCCCTACAAATCCCTTTCCTACATTTTGTGTCTTTGTTTTGTTTTCCACTGAGTTTTTAACCACAACTATGTGTGTGACTGTGGTTTTGGAACTATCCTTTTGGCCTCACCAATGGAAACTTCATTCTCTTTTTGTAGCAGAGGATGAAGAAGACACCATAGCAGCTGAGGAGCAGTTAGAAGGAGAGGTGGATCATGCCATGGAACTAAGCGAGTTGGCTCGAGAAGGTGACATTTACCGGATATTTTACTGAAAATCTACTTTCTGTCACTACTCTGCCGAAAATTGGTGGATAAAAAGACAGTAAATCAACTGGGCAGTGGTGGTGTACACATTTAATCCCAGCACTTGGGAGGCAGAGGCAGGTAGATCTCTGTGAGTTCAAGGCCAGCCTGGTCTACAAGAACTAGTTCCAGGACAGGCTCCAAAGCTACAGAGAAACCCTGTCTTGGAAATTAAAAAAAAAAAAAAAAAAAAGACAGTTGATTAGATAGTTTTCTCTTTATAGTTCCAGTTACTGGTTATTACATATGTTTCTTACGTATGCAGGTGTAATGACCAAGAAGATTTGTAAATGAAAGGCACTAAGTAGGGAGTGTGTGTTCATGATAGGAGTTTGAACTAATTGGTCTGAGAGCTCAGTTGAAGGGTTACTGTAGCAAGATACGAGTTATTTGACCAGAATTTTAAAAGGGTAGTTCAGTGGCTCAGGTGACAACGGTAGGTTCAGCATTGGTGGCTTGGCATCTGAGAAGTGAAGATCCTGCCAGCTGAGGCTTGAGCTCAGACTGGTAGGAGAGTTTAGACATGGCGCTCTTTCTGAGAAAGCAGTGGGGCCTTTGGAAGAGAGAGAAGCCTAAAGAGGATCCAAACGTCTGGGAGAAGACTAAAGAGCACCTGGCTGCCTTAAAGCAGAAACAAATTGAGCAGAGTCACCTGAATATTAAAAACACACAGTCATCCACTGAATAGCCTGTATCATTGCCCATTTCTGTAGAAACACAGTTTCTGAATAATTACTATTCAGTTTGTGTGCTACTAGCAGATAATAAGTTACAGTCAGTGAAAAAAGGTGTTTTTGTGTGTGTGTGTGTAAATTTTCTTTTTAATTTTATTTTTACATGAGTGGATACTGTCCTTATGAGAATGCTGCACTTACTATGGTTGTTACAAGTATTGGTTTTATTATCTGGTGCTAAAGGCAAACTCTGTAGACTTCCTGTAGATATGGGCCTGGGAGTTGGAGCTTAGGTTAAATAAACAAGCACCACTCAAATAACTCTTTCCCAGTCCTAACAAAAGAACCAAATTTTACTTCTCTTCTCCCTATCAGGTGAGCTTTCTGTAGAGGAGCTACTACAGCAGTATGCTGGGGCCTATGCCTATGATGCCTCAGCTCCAGGTTCAAAGCATAGTGAAGAGGAAGATGAGGGTGAAGCCAATAGTTACGACTGTGAACTAGAGGAAACAAGAGAAGTTGAAGAGGCTGCTCAAGAAGATAGTAGCAATCAGTCTGGTAAGTATGTAGTTCAGAGGATAACTGGGGTTGGCAGCTGTTGGAGAAACAACTTACTAAACTTTTGTTTGTGATTTAGATTCTGCTGAAGAGCAGAGTGAGGATGAGGAAGATGAACATTCAGAGGAAGAAGAAATGAGTGGGAGTTCACAGTCAGAAGAGTCTGAGTCTGAGGATGCTCAGTCGCAAAGTCAAGCAGATGAAGAACAGGAAGAAGATGATGATGATGATGATTTTGGGGTGGAATACTTGCTAGCTGGGGATGAGGAAAGAAGTGAGGCAGATGGAGGCAGTGGGCCTCCTACTCCAGGTCCCACCACTGCTCTAGGACCCAAGAAAGAAATTACTGATATTGCAGCGGCAGCGGAAAGTCTCCAGCCTAAGGGTTATACGTTGGCCACTACCCAGGTATCCATAGGTTATGATTCTTTTTCTCATATCTTGAGTTTATTGTTTCCTATAAAAATGCCTCATATCCACCATGTGTGATAATTTCCTCTCTCTTAGGTGAAGACACCAATTCCACTTCTTCTACGAGGCCAACTCCGAGAGTACCAACACATTGGCCTTGACTGGCTGGTTACTATGTATGAGAAAAAGCTTAACGGCATTCTTGCAGATGAGATGGGACTGGGGAAGACAATCCAGACCATCTCCTTGCTTGCTCACTTGGCCTGTGAAAAAGGTAGATACCTCCAAGGGTCTCTTAGCTAATTACTGGTAGGACATCTTATTTACTGGAGATTTTCCCCACAGAAAAGTACTACTGTCATGGTAGCCTCCTTGAGTCTTGTCAGTAATGATATAAGGACGACAGCATAGGTGCTGAAGTCTTAAGTAGCATCAGAAGATGCTAGTCAGGGTCTGTTTAAGAACCAGAGCTAAAAGGTTTACATAGTCTTACTATGTCTTTTCTTTTGCTAAACAGGTAACTGGGGTCCTCATTTAATCATTGTTCCTACCAGCGTGATGTTGAATTGGGAGATGGAATTGAAACGTTGGTGTCCAAGCTTTAAAATCCTCACTTACTATGGAGCTCAGAAAGAGAGGAAGCTCAAGCGGCAGGTTTGATCTTCTGTGTGGTCACTTTCCTTATTAATGTCCTTCAGTTTTAGATCCTTATGTTAATTACTTAGCCTTATTTTCCTGTTGCTTCATTCTCTTGCTGGTACTATTTAATTTCTTCCAACCTGATTTCTGTCTTTGAGTACATGTCTTCCCTTTCCCCTTGTATTTTTCTGTGTGTTTTTTCCACTTTATTATATGCTGCTTTCTTTCTCTTTGACCTCTTAGGGCTGGACCAAGCCCAATGCTTTCCATGTGTGTATCACATCTTACAAGCTGGTGCTACAGGATCACCAGGCTTTTCGTCGCAAGAACTGGCGCTATCTCATTCTGGATGAGGCTCAGAACATCAAGAATTTCAAGTCCCAACGGTGGCAGTCACTGCTCAACTTCAACAGGTAAAAATGAATATAGAGATTTGTCGGAGAGTTGTCTTAGATGAAGGGTTGGCTGCCTGGGTTAAGAGTATATTAAGAGTCGGGTGATGGTGGTACACACTTTTAATCTCAGCACTGGGAGGCAGAGGCAGGCGGATCTCTGTGAGTTCAAGGCCAACCTGGTCTACAGATTGAGTGCCAGGACAGCTAGGACTGATACACAGAGAAACCCTGTCTCGAAAAACCATAAAAAGAAAAAAAGTTGGGATTCTCTTGACTATCTTCATTCTAATTCCTTCTCTCTTTTCAGCCAGAGGCGTCTGCTCCTGACAGGAACTCCCTTGCAGAATAGCCTCATGGAGCTGTGGTCCTTGATGCATTTCTTGATGCCACATGTCTTCCAGTCTCATCGAGAGTTCAAGGAGTGGTTCTCTAACCCTCTAACTGGCATGATTGAGGGAAGCCAAGAATATAATGAAGGTCTAGTCAAACGCCTTCACAAGGTAGGGCCTATGTTGTTTGTAAAAGTATTAATAATAATAAAAATTAAATAAGGACAGTAACCTAGTAAAGTTTTAGAAGTCAGTGCTAGGCTGAACTAAGTTGTCAAACTGTACTGTTCTAGATAATAACCATTGCCAAGCTGAGCTGCTTTGCATTTGATAATCTTTGTTTTCTGTAGTTGTGGTTTTTTTTTTTTTAATTTTCTTTGGATCTTGATACTGAACTATGATTTCTCTTTATCTGGATAAACTTATTTTTTAGGTTTTCATTTTTATATGTATAGTGTTTTGCCTGAATATGTTATGTGCATTACACACTTTGCCTAGTGTTCAAGGAAGTCAGAAGAATGTGAATACTCTGGTAATGAGTTACAGACAGTTGTGAGCCTATGTGATGCTGGGACTTGAACCCAAGTTCTATGTAAGAGCAGCCAGTGCACTTAACTACTGAGCCATCTCTAGCCCCAGTCTGGACTTTTTGAATGTGTGTGTGTGTTTGTTTGTTTGTTGTTGTTGTTGTTGAGACAGGCTTTCTCCCTGTAACTAACCATGGCTGTCTTAGAACTCCATATGTGTAGAACAGGCAGTCTGGCCTTGAATTCACAGAGCTGCTTCTTCCTCTGCCTCATGAGAACTGAGATTAAAGGCATGTGCCTCTATGCCCTTTTGTGGTCCTTGAAATTAAATCTAGGGCCTTATTGCACGTGCTAGGCATGTACTCTATCACTGAACTGTATCTCTTGACTCTTTCTGTTGAGGGTGTTGTCTCTGGCTTTTTCAGCTTTTCAACAACATATTTCAACATTCTGAAGCACCCTGTTTGTTTCTTTTTATTTTTTTCCTTTGGTTTTTCAAGGTAG